GTGTTATTTCACACATCAGCAGAAACCCTTAGAACTAAGCAGAGATTAGTATTTGTACTTGTAAATATGAGTTGTGTATACAGTGCTTAGCAATACCCCTCATAAACCTGCACTTTTGTGATTCTTGAGTCATTTTAAACTGTCACTCCAATGTCATCATCCAGCAGCTCTATTTTCAGCATTTCCATTTCAAGGTCTGCAAGCAGGCATCACTGTGGCATTAAGCTCCCACCACCTTCATCCAGTGTACGTGCGTTCAGTAAAGAGATAAGAGTGGTATCATTAAAGGAGAAATGGCAGATGGTTTGATAGACACCAGACCCCGACAGACGAGGAGTGGAGGCTTGCGTAATAGTTAGGACGCCCACTCCACAGACTTGCGAGAGATGAGTGACTCAAGAAAAAATTGAAAAAGAAGAGACATTATCACTCTGCTGTTATAGGCTGTCCTATAAAGATCTTATGACAGCTTATATAAGGTGGACAGATGAGTGTAATGTGCTTCTTTGAATGTAGCAGATTAGTGTAAGCTGCTCATTAGTTTCATTCAAAAAAATGGAATAAATTGGAAATTCAAGAAAAGAGAAATTACTTCATTCAACTGCAGATTTTCATTTTAATCATGAATAATGCCAAATGATATAAATCTCTTATTTTTTTTAAGTACATCGTGACATTTTTGTTAGTATGCTTTACCTCAAAACCTCTATACTCGGTTCAGGAAGCACTGATGCACTGCAGAAATTAGCCTTTTTGGACTTCAGTGTGCTTGTTGGCAGATAAAGATGAAATTCATAATACACAACAATGACGCAAGATACATTAGTATCAGTACAGGAATTTTCCATAGTGTAGTGCAGGGGTGTCAAACATAAGGCCCGGGGCCCAGAATCAACATGACACCAACTCCAGTCCGGCCCACTTTAGAAAATGTGAATGAGTGCATAGATTTTGAACTTTTAACTATAATTTCAGTTTCACCGCTTGTGCCCATTCACACTACACCAAAGTCCTTTGGGGTTACATCAGGAAGGGCATCCAGTGTAAAAACTCCAAATAAGAAATCGATGTGGCAGCTCTTTGTCAAAAAGGGAGCAACTGAAAGTATCATTATTATTATTGTTATTTTAAATTGATAATGATAGTTGTTGTGACTGTATCATTTCTATACATCCATTTTATTAATTGAAGTGAGGGGTCACAGGGGGACTGGGATAGAATTGAGGTAAACGATGGACAAATCAGCAATCCGTCACAGGGCTAACACAGAAACACAGACAGCCATAGACTGTCACTTGCAGACAATATACATTCATCGCTTTAACAGTAGAGCTGTTTGTTTAAGGTGTCGTAAAGATCTGTAGCAGTCCTGATGTGCAAATCGGTCCTCCATCCTGGGTATAGCGGCAGACGACTAATTGGTAACTTGAACATTCTTGCTCTAATATGTGGTGCTAACCACGGCACTACTGTGCATTTACTGTTACTTTATAGTATTTGACATTTTGAAGTGATCACACTCTACTTTAAGCTTCTTTCACCAGAAATGTTACATCATAAAAAGACATTCACAGAATTATTTACTAATGTTGTCACAGTCAAAACACAAACTTCTGTCTCGGTCGACTTTACATCCAGAAAACTTTTAGTGTGGAGGCAGCTCCTGTCCTGAAGACGCACACAAGTATTTTATTCTGTTGTGTTTTGATAGATGTGAAATTATTATTTTCGCTGTATGTGCTCCTTTAGCTTACTGAATATTATGCTTCATTTGACTGCGGTTCGTAGGAGACTTAATGCACTGAATGCAAAATGCTTCGTGCTGTCCATGCTCTCCCAGGCTCATCTCTTCCTGTGTGACAGTAATATCACAGTGTAGACGCTCTTGGAGGTTAGGACAGGCTACGTTGTAAGGACAGCACAAATGTGTTTATACAGCACAGCTGGGAAGTTAAAGAGACATTCGTTTATGACTTGAGGAGCCTGGGTTGATCAGCACTCTCCAGTTATGCCCTCCACAGTAAGAAGAGTCAGACTTCTTTTTTTTTTCTTTTTTAATTCATGAGGTGTTTTCATGTAATGTTTATGATCAAGCTGCTGTTGTCCTTTTCCCCAAAGATATACCCATAGACTATTTGTTTATGATACCCAAGGCAGTCATCTTTATTCCTAACCTGTCATGTAAGATTTAATTGTAACTGCTCTGGGATGACTTGTGCCATCACACGTGGATGCCAGAGATGACTTGGATTCCTGTAGTAACAAATTTATGTTGCTTTTGCATAATTTGTTCACACAGAGCGAGCAGTGTAAGATGTAATTAGTTTGAGCATTAATATTGTCAAGAGACAGCAGGTATTTAGCCAAGCTGAATATTGTGTGAGTAATCAAACTGTGACGAGAAAATGCTGTATCTGTGAGGCTTGTTACACTCTTCAGGCTTAATTCTGGCTGTTTATGGTGATTTTTAGTAAAACATTACATTTTCTTTAAATTTGACATCTATAATACTGGAAGAGGACCAAATTTACAAATACCATTACAAGGATGAAAGGGAGGATTTTTTTTTCAATTCATTTTTTTACAGGTTTTATATCTCACGCTGATTTCACAAGTTTCCTTGTGGCGTTTAATGCTCTCTACCCCATTACACTGAAATAAACATCAGTCTCTTGTTCGTTTTTAGTTTACAATTATGGTGTAGTGTCAGTAGCTGAATAATTCACTCACAAATCACCTCGTGCTTGGATGAGTAGGTTACCTCGCCAACCTGTCTTTCTCTTTTTTTGCCATTAAGTTGATGTAGGTGCCCCTGTGCAAGATACGAAACCACACATTACCCCTTAGATGCATCGACTGACCTATGAATGTGTGCATGGTAAAAGGTGTTTAAAGACACCAAATATTTCTTGAAACTAATAAAACACTGTGTGAATTGGTAAGTTTGGCTTGTAGTGTGAAATGAGCTTTGAGTGCTCAGTAAGAGTAAATATAAGTTTGCAGTTATTGACTGATAAAAACTGAAACTGGAAGGATTTGTCTGTGCTGGTGTCCATGTGGCTTGTATCCCAGATGGAATCAGGATGACTTGATCACTGCTAAACAGTTCATGAATACATGTTTTGTTTTTTCCTTCAGTGATGGACAGGCTGTGATTGGCTGTGGCCTTAATCTATATCAGTCTTTGGCTGTAGTTCCATTTTTATTCTAGCAAAAGCCTGCAAAATTCATTTTGCATTGTTGTCCTAAATCGATTTTGTACAATTGTTTATAGTATTGGCATCTAAACTTTGTCATAAGAGTCTTCCATTTCTGCCAGAGTGGTCGATTTTATGTTGTGGGACTGTTTCCAGTTAGGAGTTAGTGTAAAACGCATCATTAACCTGAGCTGGCACGCAGCAATTTTGGCTCAGTTTTTATGTTTTCAGCTCACTAGCCAAAGGAAAGAAGCACACATAAGATGCCAGTATAACTACTACTAAGGTATATTCTATATTTCCACAAACATTGATTGGCATAAATTAACATGTTCAGATTCTGGACTGGCTTTATTAAACCTCCTGTGTGCAAAATGCACCCTAGTTAAAAGTCCTCAGGCAGATTACATACTGAAAACAACAATTTTGAGCTCTTAGGGGTGCAGGGGAGTTTTGATACATCGGCAGGCCTTTTTTATTTTTATTATTATTTATTTCGATTTTTATTTTTTATTTTTTGCAAATCATCACATTTTTTTGTTAAGTTTTAACGTCTCCTAACTTTTTTAGAAACAGAAATGTAGAAAAAATAAATATTCGAAATTTAGAATTTATGCTGTTCCATCTACATATCTGTTACAATATAACTACACTTGTTATAAGCACAAAATAATGGCGAATACTGTTATTTTATTGTTTTACAGTATAGAGAGTAGTGCACTTACAGACTAATTTTCTTGGTGTGCAATCCTGTTTTGGAGCCGGAGCAAACACTGGTAACAAATAGCTTCTCTTGTTCACATATATTAAAATATTTGGATAATAAGGTTAAGCTTTAAAATATTGAATTCATTTTGCCAGCTTTGAGTTTTTGTCTTTCTTATTTTCTACTTGTTCATGGTTTTGGGGGTTTTTTTTGTCTCCCATACTTTTACGTTTTTCCCTTATTCACATGTGCTACTCAATCAGTGTATTATTGTTGCATCCTTCATCTGCAGCAGCACCATGTTGTGTCATGGTTCCCGTGCACAACACGATGCTGTGAGATGTCCCATTTCTGTTAGCCCAGATTGGCCCAAGCATGACTGGGTGTCAAGGCTGAAAGCCAATCAGTGGGATCCAGAGACTAGGGCCAGATAAATTTTCAAGGCTGCATGAAAACACCGTAGGGACAGATTGTTTCACCGTTGGCTACGTGCTGTGTATGCTATCAGAACTGTACGAGTCATAGATGCATTAAGTGAAGGTGGACATTTGGGCCGGCTGAGTGGCAAACTAGTCTTATCCAATCTTGAGTGTTAAATTGTAGGCTGTACATGTTTCCACTCCCAGTTTAGATTTTTGGTGAACTTTAAGAATTACTTGAGGCCCATTCACACGATGATTGAACCACTGGATGGCTGTTGCTCGCCCTGATTTACAGTGTATGGTTGTTTTTGTACTCCTGTCTTTATTACTGGAATAGATCATAGCTTAAAGTCACTCAAGTAAAACATGCAACCCACACATTTTGCAGTGATATAAATGACATGGAAAAATATCATCAAGCACCATCTTTTTTTCCATCTAAGAAAGAAATGTGACAGTATTCTGACAAAACAGCGTGGCTTCCTTGTTCACAGCATCTACTATCAAAACCGAGCTCTAGGGGACCACTGCTGCTGTCAGGTGTGAGAAACCTCCTCTGTATTTGGGGCTATGATTTTTGAGGAAATGCACAGAGCAAATAGTGCTACTAGATAGCTACAAGCGCTTGCATTCTTCCAGTTTTAAGTTGAAAGAGTGCCATTTTATACAGATGACTGTGAACACCTGAAGCATAGGTTCACAAATAAAATTGGCAGTATATTTAGAGAGAAGCTTGCTCTTTGTTTTTTAACAAAGGCTTTAGGAGACTAAAGCGGATTAGCAGCTGCTCAATTCTGGCAAAGATTATATTCAGAATTAATATTGAGGCAATTATCATTTAACCAATTGCTCACAGACTGTGGAAAAGTTGACTTTTTCTTTTTCAGTTGATCTGATAGTTATTAAAATATTTTCTAGGCTTGCAACAAGAAACTTACTGAAGAGTTTCACAAAGAACAGACCTCGTAATTTCTTTCTTCTTACACCCAAAGACATTAATTGCAACTGCGTTAAAAGAAAGAACAGAAGCAAAATTCTCACAGACTCTAAGTTTAACAGTTAATCTGTGTTACTGTTACATACTGGGGTAGCTACTTGGCTGGGAAGCACCAAGGCATGGACGTGCATGCTGGGAGCTACCGAGGCCTTGAAGAGGGTTGGACGGTAATATGTTACAATTTCTAAATCTATTGCTCAAAGATGCTCAAAACAAGCTTTTAATACTGGAATATAATTACTTCCAATGAACAGACCCGAATAAGGGAAATGGGAGCACCAACAACACCAAACAAAAGAGAAAGAAGATCATGAATCAGACACAATAGACTGTCATATTCAGGCTTCTCCCCAAACTAGACTGTTAGTAAACTAGACTACAAAAAACAAACCTGAAATCTGGAATGCCAGTATTCCCAACTCAGCCTATAATAAATGTGAGGAATAGTGCTGATGGAGGTGAGGGAGAGTGAGAAGGAATCAGCCTGACAACCACTCTCAGACCTCATATGAGTGCAGGTGAGCCTTCTGCTGCCAGTCAGCACTGGAGATAAATTGGATAGCAGGTTCCTCAGGATGACTGAGAAAGAAAAGCTGGTGCACTGAAGCACATGTAACAATCCACACTGGAAATAGCAGTTGACCAGTAATTTCTACCCCTGATGCAAATTATGTTTTACTATCATGAGGTGAAAACTTGCCTGCAGTAATTAGCTATATCCTGTGGAAGCCCACTGTATTCTATCTGCTCAGCACCAAGCAGCAGACAGACATGTTTAGAGACAAACTGGTGTAAATGAGTAAAACATTTAGCATTTAAAGAGCATAATCTTTCCTTTTACACTTGCAAGAAGCAAATATATGGGTTAAAAGGGGAGTGAGTACTGGACTTTAATTTCCACTGGGTATAGCGCAATATTTTAATTTATTTGGAGCCATTTAACCAAGAAATCTGCTACTGCAGGATCGAAGTTTTTGCAAATTTGCAAGTAAGAGAGGGTACAAATGTTCTCAAGACTACTGACTCCAGAGATAAGAGAGGAAAGATTAAAATGGACTCTATAAGAATCTCATTGATTTGCAGTAACGGTTTGTGCAATGTTAACTCTCCTCGAAACAAGTATTTTTCACACAGTTCTACGGGGGTTAGTACCATACGGTGAGCTACAAAGGAATCTGTGAACTATCTACGTTCTTGAAGAATACAAGTGTGTTGAACATTTATCAGCGTTTGCTGACACTGTATTAGCACCTAAAGGGCCCTGGTGTGCTGACAGGGTGACATATAGATCCCTATAGACTAACTGAAGAAGTGGCAAAGGTGCAGTAATTGGGTGAAGCTGTCATTTACCATAGTTAATGTTAAAGGCTGGTCATCCATCACGTCTTTCTGAAAAGAAACACCTGTTTCTCTGTCCCCAGGTGAAGTTTTCTTGCAGGATTTAATCAATCTTCTGTTGTATTTGTCCACAGAATATATCTAAGATATTTAGCATTATACACAAAATCTCTGCATTGCAGTATTATAATCCTGGCATGAAATAAGATGTTGGTCTTTAAAACAAATGTGATGCAGCAAAAAGAAAAAAAAAATAGCTGTTGTGATACAGAGAGCTGTATAAAAGTTGGTCATCACTTTTGATCTCAGAAAATACTTTCCAAATGGATCCTGGACATGTTTTCAAATGTCAACTTTCTTAGACAACAGTTGATGTCTGCAGCAGTGTCCATCTTTTTAAGCAGCCTGTGGTAATTGCATCTACACCAAAATTACATTTGGTGTCCTATTTACTGGTAAAGTCTCAATACTCTCTTAAATCTTTAGGCTTTAACTGATTCAATCAGCTGATGGTCATTTGAAAGCAAAAACTACCAACTTATTAATTTCCGCAAAGCAGGGAAAATGAAAAGACGCCAAAGTATTTTTTGCTCGCAGTTTCTAAATATGGACCACATACATATGTATTGTAATGATAGATGCAATTAATAGGCAAGTTGAAGAGGAAATGTTGGATATGTAATGTCTTTTTTTTTTTTGCAAGTGTGTAAATGATTCCTTAATGTATTTATTCTGCTTGTCAAAACCAAAACAAATATATATGCATGTATACATAGCTGGATTGACGTGATCATCTTTACAACAAAATGCTCAATTTATGTGGCCTTTACTTTTTATGTTGCTTTGTTCTTTACACACACAACAGAACATAACAGAAAA